TTATTTACACAATTCCCTGAAAAATATCCGGACCGTCGTTGTTACCTAATAACCTAGATAAAACTAACTTTGCAAGACTCGATGAGAAGATCCTAAATGACCAAAATGTAGGTTATGTTTAAAATGAGACCTCAAATTGTTGTTTCATTTTTTCAATTTGTTAGTTGGTGGTCTTTACATGCCGTTCGACAATATCAAGCGTGATATTGATTTGATGGTTTTCCTACTTATTGTCTGCTCATACCTATTATTGCAGCCGGTAATTCTGTGACATCAAAGTTGGTTAGTTCATCATGCACTGACCTAAGACACCATCATAACAACAAATGATATTGCTGTCTTATTTGCCGACTACAAAATAATTTGCAACCGAACACTACAAATTGGAACCTAACACTAGGTACGCTATCAACATAATATATTCGTGTACCTTAGGTAATTTGAAAATATAAATTAAAATATGTCATATCTATACTCGAATAACATTTTTTTTATTAGATAAATTAAATTAAATTTAAATGTGAAATTACCTATGTCTCCATCGAACCTATAGCTTAGAACTATAAACGGTACCTAAAAGACTTACTTACTTCTGTGAGTTGTCTGCCTGATGATACAATCGTAATATGATGTCCGAGAATTATCTGACCTTTTAGTTCCAGAAGCAACAAATTTAATGTTTAGATTTAGGTCAATATTTTTAATTTAAACAGACATTGTCGATAAAAGTACCTAGTAGTAGTTTTTGTTTCTATAAGGAACATACAGACAGACAGACAAAAATTTTACTGATTGCATTTTTGGCATCAGTATCGATCACTAATCACCTCCTGATAGTTAGTTAGTTTGAAAATATATTTCATGTACAGAATTAACCTCTGTACAGATTAATTATAAGTTCTTATCTCTAGATTATGTGGTTACTTTTAGTAACATTATTTAATTTACCATGCACAATACATTATGTAGGTAAGTATAATCACGGCACAGTTACTATGTACTCAGAGCCCACAGATATGCGGGGGTAAAATTGATTGCGTACATATTTGCACGCTTGTATAAATCATTTGACTTGGATGTTGCCTTGACGTGCGGTTTATTTTTAGAAATTAACATCACTGCAACCATTACGACGGAAAGTCAGACAGAAATGTGAAACATGATTAAATATGACGCCAGTGATCCGGAATCAGCGGGGTCAATACATAATATTGTAATGAGAGTTATCATAGATGTTTTTAGAAATTTTTATGCATTCTTATCTTGTATTGTGCTTTTTTATGAATGTGCTTCTCTATGTCAGTAATATCTACTTAAGAGAGATATGAAAACAATTTTAAACCGTCCAGTCCCACACCAGTGCTGTATTTTCTCCTGTGTCACAATAGCGCATTTGATTTCAGAACAACAGTTCGTGGAACACATGAAATACTTACATATCACAGTAATCAAACACATTGCTTTGGGCATAATCCGTTACAAGTTGCAACCGACCCAAGCGTGCAGTCAGCAGTCATAGCATGCGCACAGGTCTTGAGGAAGTTTATAACAATTTTATTATACCTAGTTACGAAATGGTTAAAATGTATACAAAGTGCCTAGCAGTGTAACACTAACGTCAGGCTACATTTTACAAGCCATTTACGAATAGAAACCATTACCTATGAGAACCGCCTAGGAGATCCTTAACAGTATTATGCTTTCAAAAGAATACAACGAGCATGGGTTAATTCTAATTGGCCACATCTGATGGTTAGCGATGATTCGCTCATTGCCTATGCCTACTACCATACTTTAGTAGTAGCTACCTACTAAACGCCGACAGACGTCAAATGCCAGGAAAAATATGGAGAGAAGTAGGTACCTAGGAATATGCGGATTGAAAACACATATTATTTTAGGCCACATTTGCGGTTTCAATAGTTCCACGATTTATCTCATGACGAACATAAAACAGTTCTTTTCCCATTAGCCTCATCCGAAGATGTCAACGTCACAGCTCATTTTCACTTGTGACCTACCTAACCTTCGTTTTTACGTAGGTACGTTACGTAAGTCTTAAGTTATAAGGAAACTCCTTGAGCTGTTCTAATGTTAAAAAAATCGGACGATTGGCAACTCTAGCTAGACACACACTACCTTTAGTCATTGATTGCTGACAGATTAAGTACTTTTGAGGGTAAATCCCGCCCATATTATTATTGTCCCATTGGAACATGGCGTTCAATATGTTTGGCACAAACCTGTATAATTTTTATTTTTTCTTTCTACACTATTGTTTTATAAAAATATATACTTTTTTGCTGACTATACACGTGTTTTACAGAAAATTATACTTGACAAACATACCCGGTAACTTCCGTATTTATCACTTGACAAATAGGTATTAATGTTGGCATAAAAAATAATCTCCACATGCTTAGACACTGCCATAAATGGTAAGCAAGTTATTAGGTACCTACTTATTAATGTATGAGTAAGTAATCCAATTTGCAAGCGCGATGTTCTCTGGCCGGATAGATTTCCATAAAAGGCCATAGCGTTATCGTTATGTAGGTGTCAAACTCAGTAAATACCGCCTACATGGCAATGCTGGACCAGATTATCTTATCGCAAGCAAAAAGTTTAGCTCAAATGAAATAATTAATTATAGGAACACCAATTTTAATGATTTCTGTTGGCCAATTAGCACAACTACGGCCATTAATATGCTTCTAAATATTTTGATCAAGAGACGACACTATTACGCTCAACAAAGGTAACAAATATGTATATTTTAATGTCCGTAAAAGGGTTATTATATGCCTAAAGGATGGGAAAGCTCGACATCGCGTTCCGTGCATAATACATTGAAATTATAAAATGTCTATTATCTATTATAAAATATCTCATTATTTTGACTTACTTGAGAGACGCCATGGTTTCCTCACGTTTCGCCTGACCCAGGTGCTTACCGGGAACGGCAGCTTCGGTAGGTTCCTGTTTCGGATCCGGCAGGAGGAAACGCACAGGTGTCGTCATAGTAAGGACCATCCAGAGGACACGTTGAAGCATACGGTAGCGGTGTGCCCTTCTTGGGCTGAGCACCGCCGTGTCCTCAGGGAAGTAACAGGCGTCGATCTCTCGCGCCACAATCGTCGACGCCATGGTGCGGAGCGAGAGGAACTTGGAAGCCTTCGCTTTCTGCGAAGCGAGGGAGCTGTCTTCCTCCTCACGCCCCAGCCATGGAAGTAGGCAAAACTCCGGGCATCGGGAATCGAGAGACGATCTCCAGCCACTGTAAGCACGGGTCTGCCGACGGCAAGCAAGGGTAGGTCGTCGCCCAACCAGAATCAGACCCTAGCGTCTAGCGTATGGCGCGTTGCGTTTTGCGCGCGCCTCAAAGAACCAATAAACCACCAAAGAGAGGCCTATAGGGCCGATGCTCAGCCGGCTTACATGATCATTTTCCCCATCACAAAAAAACACCTATGCCTAAACCCCTTTCCGGGAAAAATTATGCACCACCGACCGTGGTGTACGACACAGAATTTTCGATTTTGAGTTGTGTCAATAGAACAATTGAATGCTTTTATAAATTCAGTAGCGCCATCTATTATCACTTAGAAGAATTATATATCAAAACAATCAATAGTATATACAAAGTAGCAAACTGAAGGATAGCCATCTGTTATCTAATAATTGGCATAGGAAAAATAATTTTCTACTTTACTGATAAAAAAGTAAAATTGTCCTGTTTTAAGATTCTATTTAACAGAATTATTATAAAATACTTGATGTTTCATGAATTTGATAAGCTAAAATTTATTGTTAAATATAATATTTTACATTCCTATTGTTAAATGTCACAAAGGAATGCTCCTTTTTCCCCCTTCAGTCAATTGAGTCAATTGTACAATTAATATTGTGGCACTAGTGCATAAAGAGTGTGACACATGAATACAAAAACATTTGAGGCCATAAAATGATTGTTATGTGAATCACTGGTTCCTTATCTACATCTACAATGTAGATAACAGTTTTAAGCATTCGCTTTTGATAAGACAACACACCAGGTACAGAACTATTGTCTGTAAAATCACAAAAAATCACACAATATTGAAGAAATACATATATTTATTATTTCTTACAGAATACAAAACAACTAAGATTATGATATTACATACATTTTGCTTACAACATCAAACTAGTTTGTATCAAGACCCAAATACTTACTGGACCTAAGATGCTGTATAATGTAAGCGCAAAGTTGGTCCCAACTGCCTTTAAAATTAGTAATCTTGAAAATGCATTAACATATTGATAACTAAATAAAAAAATCAATACCAACTGACAAATGTGCTAATTACATATTAAGATAAATTAAAACTAAATGTTTTGTGCAGAAGCACTTTTTTCACACTATGCAAACATCAACATTTTCTTTAAATTACAGCATAATTGGTGATGGAACAAAAAGCAGCATAATGTGAAACAAGTAGTTGTTATTGTTTATACAAACACTGGCTTCCAATAACATAGTTATCTAACTTAAATACATAATAAAATATATTAATTTTGCAAGTGATTACATAGGGCTCCCCTCTTTAAGCAAAGTACAATCACATTTAAGTTGTGTAGTTAAATATCAGTTCGCTGTGTCAACTGTTCACCCAAACCAGATGTTACAGTGGGCTGAAGGCTGCAGATATTGCAATATTAACAATCTTTGCATTTAATACTACTTATCACAAAGTGAATCTGTACAAAAGTTGGCCACTTTATAAATTACATATACATATATTTATAACTGTTGTATACATTACAAAAATTGTGCAAAAGCAGCACTAGATAGTTAAAATTTCTATTCCTCTTTTTAGAAGTATAACAATTTGTAAACAAGTCTTATATGAGTGAATTTGATCCACTTAAACGGTATCAACAGTTAGGTACTATTTTAATACAATTTATAGAAAAATATCAAAACATTTACCAAGATGTATATCTTACAATAGGAATATGTGTGCGTTGGTTAATCGTTGAATATACAAAATATAGATTTCATACATACTGTTCAGTCGCATTGAGTTTGTCTAAACTTGCGTTATTTTATAAAGAGCAGCATAAATGTTTCCATATCAAAGTTTGAAACGTTATTTTGATGACTATCGTCCAGAATTTGGAGTTTCAGTGACAGCAGGCGGAGCAGGAGCAGGGCTAGAGCCACCGCCTGACCCGGATGTTGCCCACACAATGATTATGATAAGTAGAACTGCCCCAATAGCCCCGATAATAAGCATCATTTTCAGATTCTGCCACCAATACTTTCGTTTCAGTTTTCCAGCCTGTTGCTCAAACTGCGCTGCCCCGTGCTGTAAGGCATCAGCTCGGTTGTCCAGTTCTGACAACTTTTGGTCCCTCTCCAATACTTTCTCGACATTAACGCGCATAATGCCAACCACTTCATCGACTTTAGCTTGAGTTTGAGCCAAACGTTTGTCGCTTACTCTAGGCCCAGAGCTTCCACTTTGGTCTTCCATTTTTTTGCGAGTTGAAAAACTGTACACTAGTTACACAAAATAAAACGTTTGACACTTTTTGCCACAATGTAAAAAACACAAATCTAGGATTCCTAATATAAATATGGCGAAGGCTGGCGAATTAAAATCCTGGATTTTCTCGAATGACAGAAGAACAATCAACAGCGTGACACATTCATGACGTCATAGTCCGATTACAAACCCAAATCAATTAGAGTACTTTTACACCAATCAGATAATGCTCACGTATTACACTTTGCTCGTGATTGGTCCTGTGTGTAACGTAATTCTATGCTTATCTATGAAAAAAAAACTGTTTTCTCCTTTATGGATCTATTAAATTGACCATTACAACCTCCTGTTCACCATCCAGCACAAAATCTAAAAAAAGGAAACATCTACCTACCTTTCATGTGGAACCATTTAAATCTCACTGATTAGACATTCTTAATTGTGGACGTTTAACAGTAATTGTTCGTCAATCTTGAGTAGAAGAACAAGGTTGGAAAATTCATTGCATTTATCACCTACCGACCTATTTTTTTTAGACAACATGGTTGAAAATATTAAAATTGGTGGCTAGTCAAGCTGTAAGGACGTGTATAGAAATCTTTATTGAAGTAAACAATGTTGCTACGTTTAAAAAAATACATATATATATATTGTAATGGCAACATATCAAGACGTGCTTGCTTTTTGTTCTGTCAGTTTTCTCTTGTAGGTTTCTGGGATTATTTTAGCCGGTTTTCATTATTAGTGTTAAATATTATCCCTATATAAAAAGTGAAAATGGTAAGAAAGTATAAAATATTTACATCACTGTGAACATTTTTTAATACTTTAGGTATCGGTTATGTTAATGATTTGTGAATAATTTGGTAATGTTCGAACCGTTGTTCTCGCCGCACGTGTGCCTTGATCACATGAAATTATTGTTCAGGTGTCACTCAACCCTATTAGAATTTTGAAAAATGAGGCTGAAGAAGAAAAAGCCGAGGTGGCTCGTATGTCCAGCTTCATTGGTGCCATCGCTATTGGAGATTTGGTGAAAAGTACCCTTGGTCCTAAGGGTATGGACAAAATTCTTGTATCCAGTGGCAGAAATGCTGGACAGGTGAATATATTTTACTTAACAATTAACTGTTATAGTATCCATTTAAAATTTTACTGGACAAAATTGAGTAACAGATCTAATAAACAAATTCTTATTCAGGTTGAGGTTACGAATGACGGCGCTACTATTTTGAAATCCATTGGTGTTGATAATCCAGCAGCTAAGATCTTAGTCGATATGTCAAAAGTACAGGATGATGAAGTTGGAGATGGAACCACATCTGTTACTGTTTTGGGTAAGCAATCAACATACTTATAACATTATTTTTATTCAATTATGTGTCATACAATTAATGCAAATTGCTCAAATTGCTCTGTATAGTCACATACTCTGTTGTCTTAATAAGTTGTGTATTAATTTGTGTCAGAAATAATCAACTATAATTATTTTAGCTGCTGAACTCCTTCGGGAAGCTGAGAAGCTCATTGAACAGAAGCTCCACCCCCAGACTGTTATTGCTGGATGGCGTATTGCTGTAGATGCTGCTAAACAAGCCCTTGCTGACTCTAGCTTTGACCATGAGAAGAATTTCAATGAGGCTGCCCTGCGAGCTGACCTTGAGAACATTGCTCGTACCACATTAAGTTCCAAAATCCTTTCTAATCACAAAGAGTAAGTAATGTGGTTTTCTATGTTATTTATTGTTGCTTTTGATTGAAATATATCCTTGAATGGTAGTCTCTTATGTTATCCATCTTCACTTAGGACTACTCCTGAATTTTCATTACATACACTACAATTTGAATATATACATTTGCCCAATAGTTAAAAAAATATTGATGTGCTTCTAATTCAGAGACTGTTTCACATAAAAAGTCTTATCATTTGAAATTACTTAAGTATTTGGGAAAAGAAGAATCTGTAATAAAATTGTAATTGTTGCTACCAGTTGCCATTTCTAACAGCTTCTTTTTAATTATTTCAGACACTTCACAAAATTAGCTGTAGATGCAGTGCTCCGTCTCAAAGGCTCTGGTAACTTGAAAGCTATCCAGATTATCAAGATTTCTGGTGGTCTCCTGGAGGAATCTTTCCTTGATGAAGGTTTCTTATTGAACAAGAAGGTATATACAATGTTTAACAAAGTTTTTAAATGATCACCTAGGAAGTCTTGAACTAACCTTTTGATTCTTTTCACTCCAACTTTTTTTTTGAGCATATAAAAACTTGAAACCTCTGAAGCTTGAATCTAATAAAATAATGTAAAAAATACTATTCCAGGTGGGAGTACATCAACCTAAGCGCATTGAGAATGCCAATATCCTCATTGCTAACACCCCTATGGACACAGACAAGATCAAAGTGTTTGGTTCCACCATCAAAGTGGACTCAATGGCCAAGATTGCAGAACTTGAAGTAGCTGAGAAGGAGAAGATGAAGGACAAAGTTAACAAGATTTTGGCTCACAAGTGCAATGTTTTCATCAACAGGTAAATGACGATTTTTTTATGTATTTCATTTTAAATATTTGTTAATGATTTGTTTTGTCTATAATGTTTTGTTTGTCAATGATTTGTTATTTGTTATGACTGTAAAAAACCGTTTAAAAAGGAACAGCCTTAACACATTCAGTGCCCCCGACGCGTATGTGCGTTTCCTCGCACGCACATACGCGTCGGGGGCACTGAATGTGTTAAAGACCACCCAAAATCATTAACTACTTATTGATTCATGATGTTTTTTTTTTGAACATGCTAATTCTGAAACTACCCAGATGAATTGAACAATTCTTTTTGTGTTTGTTAGTTTATTTATCTAGGAAGGACATAGGCTATAAAACATCATGCTACGATGTAGGAGCCAAGCAGCGGATGAAACCGCAGGACAGCAGATAGTGATTTATATTCAGAGATGTTCATTTTGAGGCTTGAGGCATTTCCTTAGGACTTTGACTTGATTGACTGCATTCTTAATTTTGTCATGTTTGGGAATTAAGATATATCTAGAATATTGCGTACTATCTTTTGCCCGCGACTCCATTCGCATGGAAAAGTGACTTCCTGCAGATTTTTGGTATAAAAACCTATCCTATTTCCTTTCGATTTCCAAACTATGTCTGTACCAAATTTGACAGTAATCGGTTCAGTAGTTTAGGCGTGAAGAAAAGAAAGACAGAGTTACTTACGCATTTATAATATTAGTTTGGATTGCAGTGCTATAATTTTGAATTTATTCTTCAGACAACTTATCTACAACTACCCTGAACAATTATTCGCTGACGCTGGCGTGATGGCTATTGAGCACGCTGATTTCGACGGTATTGAGCGACTCGCACTCGTCACTGGAGGAGAAATCGTATCCACTTTCGATTCACCCGACAAAGTTAAACTGGGACACTGTAAAGTTATTGAACAGGTAAAGTCATGTTTATAATTTTTTTTAAAATTCATTTGCCTTCTCTAGGATTTTCTCCTGTGTCATGGGTGGGTGCATTTATAAACATACAATTTAACTTACATATTACACCCAGGCCCAAACCAACAATTTGTGGATCACACAAAGAGTGCTGCGGGAATCGAACCCGCAGCACATTGCGCGGCAACCAGTTACCCAGCCATCGCTGCAACCGTGCAGTCACAATTTTTTTTAATAAGAATACTTTACACTTGTATAGTGTCAGTCTTTAAGAATACTATATGAAAAAACCTTGTTTACATTTCTATGTGTACACGGAAGTAGTTTATATTTGTTTTATTTGTATTAGAAGGGGAATTTTTTCATTTGCTTGAAGCATGTGATACAAAACATATTACTGTGATTGATACTAGTACTAAATACTTTAACACTAACAATAATATTTTCATTTATCAAAAGCAACAGGCCTTTAACTTTTTTGTTTGTAAAAAATTAACCATTTTGTATATTTTCAGGTACTGATTGGTGATGAATGCCTGATCCGTTTCTCTGGAGTAGAGTTGGGTTCTGCTTGCACTATCGTAATCCGTGGTGCCACACAACAAGTCATTGATGAGGCTGAACGATCTCTGCACGACGCTCTTTGCGTACTCGCCGCCACTGTCAAGGAACCTAAAGTTGTTTATGGTGGAGGTAAATACTTTAATTACATCTTATCTAGTGGGACACTGCAAACAACTCACAGTATCTATATTTAAGCACTACATTGTATGTTACTTCGTTCTGAAACTTGATAGATCGATTTTTTTATGGTATAGGTCGGCAAACGAGCAGACGGATTACCTGATTGTAAGCAATCGGCGCCGCCCATAGACACCCGCAACACCAAAGGAGTTACGAGTGCATTGCCGGCCTTTTAAGGATAAAGGTTTCGGATATTTAAGAATTTGGAAAGGATGGGGGCGGGGTAGAGATTGGGCCTCGGGCAACCTCACGCATACGGCGGAACAACGCTGTAGTTGTCTCACTCCAGGGTGTCTGTGAGGTCGTGGTATCACTCCGGTCGAGCCGACCCATTCATACCGATCGCAATGCTTGGCTCTCTCACACTTCAACACATCGATATTGTGATGCTCTGCACTCTGCAGCCATAACCGATACTATAGGCTCTTTGAAATGAAATATATCGGTAACTATAACAAAACCATATCACACAAGTTGCCCATAGTTATAGTTGGGATAAGGGTTGAGTCACGCGCATCCTGTAAATATTACTTTGTTTATCATTTCTCATCATAAAATATTTTTTTACAAGTATTTTTGTTTATTATCTTAAAAATACGTTACCATAATTATAAAAATTAATGAATAATCTGGAATAATTATATAATTTCTGGAATTTCTGGAATAAGTATGGTAACTGAAACTAAAATATTATTATTCCTTTATATGTATATATCCAAAACCAGATCCCAAATTCATATCCATAACATCCCTGACTTGATATAATTTCTTATAATTGTCAGGATACATTCTTTTGTAATTTGTAAAGATAGCACGTCAAATCGACCTATAGATTGTTACAATGTAGCAAACATGCACACTAAATTGTTAATTTGTAGTTTGTTAGTAACATTGGTCATTTATAAAGATTGTTTGCAATATAGGTGCTAGTGAAATGCTGATGGCGGAAGCCGTGTCTCGAG